TTAAAATGAACATGTGCTGGGTCATCATTGAAGACTGCTATAACATGAAATATATGGCAGAATGCGGGTAAAACAGAACAGGAGACATATAATTCTCCTCCAAGGAGTTCAGTCACAAATTTAATTAACACATTATTTTTTTGATGAGCATCATCAGCATGGAAGTATGTCCTCTGGAATGGTGGCCGAAGCATGAAGGGGCGTATGAATTTTTAGCATATCTGGCACATAAATACTTTGCAACGCTGGCTACAAAACGCAAATGCCTGTTCTCACTTTCAGGTGACATTGAAGCAGGCAGCATTAAGAAGCAGGCAGACATAAGAAGCAGGCAGCATTATCTCCCGTAAATGTAGACAAACTTGTTTGTCTTAGCGATAGGCTGAACAAGAAGTAGGACTGAGTGGACTTGTAGACTCTAAAGTTTTATATTGTTTTGTTTTTGAGTGCAATTATGTAACAAAAAATCTGCATTTGTAAGTTACTTTTATGATAGAGATTGCACCACAGTACTTGTACGAGGTAAATTGAAAAATACTATTTCTTTAGTTTATCATTTTTACAGTGCAAATATTTGTAATAAAAAATAATAATATAAAGTGAGCACTGTACACTTGGTATTCTGTATTGTAATAGAAAACAATACATTTGAAAATGTAGAAAAACATCCAAAATATTTAATAAATTTCAATTGGTTTTCTATTGTTTAACAGGGCGATTAATCACAATTAATTTTTTTAATTGCAGTTAATTTTTTTGAGTTAATCATGTAAGTTTATTGCGATTAATCGACAGCCCTCGTAATTTGCATTAACTCCATTTCACCGATGGAGAAACAGGCCCAGAAAGACTAAGTGACTTTCCCATGAACACACAGGAAGTCTATGGCAGAGCTAAGACTAGCACCGTTCTCTTGATTCTAAAGCCTGTGCTCTGTCCATTATATATCCCTGGAGCTGCTAGTATGTATTTAGAAATTTAGCTCCTTATGGTGTATTTTGCAACAGTAAAAACCACACTGTGCATTTGCATAGCTGGAGTTTTATTTTCCAATAGCGAGGTCTGGCTGTCCTGAGCTTCCAGAATTACCACTGTGCAACTGTTGCTCAATAAATATGGACATTATATCATCATTTTAGAGTTACTTGTATCCTATTAATAAGGAGACCGGCATTAAAGGCTTAAAAGTAGTTATTTCTATTTCTATTTCTGTTTACATCTGTTCTAGCCCAGTGGAAACAGGAATCGGGGTTAAGCCATTTTCCAAATGTGCTGCAGGGTGGGCTTGCTTTTGTCCCTCTGGACTGTAAGAGTGACTATTTGCTTCAACTGCTGATCCTAAAATGCAGGCCTTTTTATTTTCAACATGTTTCAATGCAAGATAAAATTATTTGCATTTCAGAATAGACCATGTAGGTGGATTTATCTATGCCTGGAATCCAGCAAGGGATAGACTGCTTCTACCTGCCTATGCTGTAGCCAAAGACTCACCCTGGACAGGAATCAGTGCAAAGGATTTCATATGGAAAGCTACTAGTGGGAGCCCTCACTAAAATATATTTCCTCATGTGGGGAGACCAGGGCATCAAACCCATAATTCCAAGGCCACATTTTCACATGTTATGCATCCAGTAGCTATTCACTCGCTTCAGCAAGCAGATAGAAACTTTTATTTTCTTACTAGAACTTAATACACTACAGGAAACACGTTCTGACTAATGTCAAAAATGAGGAACGTAACAGACCTCCAGAAATCCATTTGCTTATACTAGG